GCAGAGATGCTGATCTTGAGTATGTTGTGGGTCCGGTCCACGCGAGCAAAGCAAATGTGACGTCGACGAAGACGAAGGATAATTGAATTAAAAACTCGCCTGCCAATTAAAAACTCGCCTGCCAATCAAACTAATAATATTCCAACGACGAAGTAGAAAAGTATACGAAACGTTATTGTATTGGGGTGCAAAGTCGCCAAAAAGCCTTTGAATTGTGTCGGACTGTCAGAAAATCCCCCTCGATCTGAAGATGTTAGGCGTTTTGTATGCAGTCAACTCGATCATATCGACCGATGACGTGGCGCATTTCGAAGTGAATTGGAATGATGGTCTTAGGGTATGGGCACAGCTTCGTCTCGCTCACACGTGCACGTCGCTTCGATAGCTGTGCATGGTATACACAAGCCAGCGAATCGCTCCTTTTCGGCCCAGAGAGCTCGCAATACTAGTAGCATCGAGCATTGATTGACTAAAGACGAGCAATAGCGCAGTACGCAGGCTGGCCACACGCAACTTGAACCGTCGGCGCGGATAGGGTTACGAGACAGAGAACACGGCCCATGCCACCGGGCTGCTGGACCCAAACGGTGACGCCTGGCTGGCTCAGCACGCGTCTTACGACGTCGAAGCCGCGGCAGCGTGCTGCCTCATCACGGCCAAGAGGCCGCAATCAACGACCTCTTGCGCCTCATCCGGCCGCCAACGACATCTGGTCGCTTGTGATTATCCTCGGCGCCAATACGACCAACGTCAACGCCTGCCCAGACGTCGGCGGCCCTCCACCGCTACGTGCAACCTGCTCCATATCATCGAAACGCCTAAACCCTCATAGAACAGATGTCTGAAGAAGTCCAGGGGGTTTGAAGGAGAAGAAAAACCAACATAGCGACTTTTGCATCTCGGTGATGGCAGCGTTTCCAACCCGAATGCGTGCTTTCCTGGTCAATTGGCCGAGTTTGGAGTCTGGCAGCGGATGGAGCGTCCAGTGGTGTCATGAGCGAGGCTTGTTGTTCAAAGTGTACTAGAGTCCTGATGATTCGTCTGTTCGTGACAGGTCGGTGTATCACGTCATCTGATGACGTGACGAGAAACCGTACGTAGAAGATCTGTCGTGCATTCGATTGATTCGTCGAGGCGCCAATGTCACTCTGGATGCACTGAGCAAGTCGTCAACGCCGACAGCTATCGCTGAGGCTACATCCAGTCGGCTTGTGGCCTCTTGCCTCCCAGTGGCATTCCAGACGGCCTAGTTTTCGAAGCTCTAGCTTCAACTGTCCTAGCGAAATGATATTCGCGACGGCGCATTTCGTATTGGGTGTACTGTATTGGGTCGCTCCAAGTGCAAGCTAGCATCGTCACTGCTGAATCAAATCACTATATGTCCACCTATGTACAGCCAAGGCAAGCGAGGGTGGTAGCGTTCTCTGCTTCGTTATTCTACCTGCACCGATACCTTGAAGTTGTACCAATCCAACGTGCATGCTGCCAGCCAAAGTGCTACATTGGGAGCTCGCTGGGCTGAGAAAGAACGGGTCGTCGCTCTGTATATCCAAGCAACTGGCGGCTCACGCCCGGCGGCAGGAAGGTGTGGGAGAGATCGTCTTGGGTCGGTTTGGATTGCATTTGTGAATTCGATCGCGGTGCCGAGCGTACACATCCATGCGACATCTTCCAACGAAGCAAAAGATATGCAATGGCGATACTCTTTCGCCGACAGAGTCATGTCGTTGCATTCAGGGACGAATCAGTGCCATGGCGCGATGTGCGCTACGGACCTTCTCTCAAAACAACGCTGTCGGACACGAGTATCTTTTTCGACCGCCGAGTGCATTTAATTGCGATCAATTTAAATGCGAGGCAGCACAGCATAAAATAAAAATAATAAAAATAATAAATGCACGCCCAGTATAGTTTGTACTTGGCCGACCGGTGTATTTTTTATGACAGTGGAACGGAACTGTTTTTATTTTGAACGAATCTTGAATGTTTCAACAGCTGCAACATGACGTCATCAAGAATCAACCACCGACCGACCGAATCGATGCGGCAGCGTCGTCTGCCCCATGGTGACACATCGCTGTGTAGCGTCATCGTCCAAGGACGAGCGGCTATTCCAGCAACGATTACTTGACCGTCCTTGGCGCCTCACACTACGAAGCATCGAGTCGCCCTCGTGGCCGGTCCTCGGTGCTTCAGACTACGTGTAAGGACCAACGGCCTTGTGTCTAGCTGGCCGCATGCAATGCAAGAGGACTATACACGCTGTGATATATTGAGCGGCGACCCATTCTTTCTCAGCCAAGAGAACTCGGAACCGATATTCGATGCATCTTTGACTGCCAACCTTGCACGTTTGACTTGACACATCACTCGTAATTTGAGCTCCATCGGCGCGGGTAGGGTTCGACACAGAGAACGCCACCACTGCTCTGCTCACTTGCATTGGCATTGTCTGTCGAGGAGGCAAGATCCATCGCCACACCTCGGTCATGGGCCACTTTGCGCCCATCTACACGGCGTCGCCCGACTTGCCCAGTGTCCGCTTTGCGCACCTGCGCCCGCCTGCCTCATGACGACCAAGCAGGCCGCCATCAACGACCTCTGCAGCCTCATTCCGGCCGCCAACGGTCCGTGGACGCTCGTGACCAAACTCGACGCCAACACGACCAACGTCCATGGCTGCCCAGGCGTCAACCCGGCCCTCGAACGCTGCAAGCGGCTGCTCGCGACGACGCTCATGCCGTTCACCAACAAGACGACGCTCGTGGCCGCCGACTCGCTCGGGTGCAGCTTTGGCACCATGTACGACGATCGCAATGTGGTTGATAGCCAATTCGTAAGGTCCTCTTCTGTACGGCGTACTTTTGAAGTCCCGCGCAGCTTGCAACGCATCAGGTTCGCCATCGCTGCATCATGTGACAAGGGAGGTTGGCGTCGCGGTTGTTCTAGTACTAAAACCACAATACTCTTGATCTGTGTTGAACATATAGTTGGTGCGGAAGGAGCGATACGACTCAATGTTGGCGCGGAAGGTACCTAGAACGCAATGAAAACGTGGCGAGGTGAAGATCGCATGGGCGTACCGCTTGCGGTGGCGCTGGGGCCGGAGCTGTAGCGAGAGCCGGAGCTGGAGCCGGAGCTGGGACGTCTTCAAAGTCGGCCTCCATATCGACGTCCGGCGCCGAGCTGTGCTGCGGCGCAGCAAAAAAGTGCGGTGCCGGCGCGCCTTGGGGCTGAAGCGATGCAGCCAGTTGCACGACATAACCTTGCGTCGCGTGGAGCGCCGCCTGCAAGCCAGCGACTTGCTGAAAGAGCGCCTGGTTAGCCGCCAAGAGCTGTTGGCTTGTGTGCTCGTACGTCACGGCGCACTGCTGCGCCGCCAAGCACGCTGTCGTCGACAAGTCGACTTGGATCTCGAGCGAAGCGCGCGCGTTTGTTGCACTTGCTCCTAGAGCTCCGTCGTCGTCTGGTGCTTGGCCGATAAGGCCTCGTACGCGCGCTTCCATTGTTGTGCGTCAGTCAGCGCATTCTTGTCCCTCTATTTTTGCATGCCACGCGCCCCATGATGTTCGCACAAAGCCCGTAAAAATGCAAAAGCGATGTGGTCAGCGACGACTGTTGGTGAACGCGATGGACGCTTTTGCAGCGTCCACAGCCGTCACTCGACGCTCTGCAGCGCCGCATTCGCTGCTAAACCGTGGCCACGCAGATAGGAGGCGCGCATCGGGGTTTGACACGCCGAGCGCCATGCAATAGTCATTATAGCTATCGTGTGTGTTCTATGTGTGTTCTACTCGTGCCATATCTCGTGAAATCCGGT